AGAGAAACCATCCCTGTCTCCCATTCCCATGAAATCATTAGGTTGCAACAGGCAGGAATGTGGAGTTTAAACCTCTCAGTCCTTCCAAATGGATGTGTTCCTTTCCAAAATGACACAGGCTGCAGCCCAAGGGGCTATAACATTTATGTAACTGTATTATAGTATAGTATAATTATAGTATTACTCTGTATTATATACCAGAGTTCAGTATATCTCTTTTTAAAGGAAAATGTATATTACTTGAGATTTCAAGAGGAATAGCACAGTACATTAACTTTCTTAAACTTAGTCATGTGTCAGGATCCAGTTTCCAGAGCCCAGAATTGAGCACCGGAAACTGAACTCCTAACATTTTGTCCTGATAAGAACCCTGCAGCTGGTGGCCTTGAAGAAAGCAGTTGTGTGGTGGCGGGAAGCTTTGCGCGGGGTTTTGGATCTGGCGGGAATTCACCGCTTGAACAAGGGGGAGGGTATATAAGGGGATGCCTGCTGCGTCCAGGCAATTCCGGCTTTTTTGTGCCTTAGTGTCTGACAGTAAAGTTCTTTATTTGATTACGATGGAAGTCTCGTGTCATCATTGAGCCCAGCTGTTGTGAGCTGACAGTCATGCACATTTTATTTCCCTGTAGCGGATATAGAACAATCATTGGGACATGTAGGTAGAGACCTTCTCAACAAAAAAGTTGAAAAGAAAACCAAGAAACTGAAAATAATTCAATAACAAATGCTATCACAAGGCAGTCAGAGGACAAGGTCTAGCTATATAGTTAACAATATCTTGAAGCATGGATTTGCATAAAAGAATCAGAAAATGGAAATTTTCATTTGAAATGTTATTATGGATTTAGTGTTCAGAAATTACTTCTGTTTTGGTATTTATATTTTTAAGAGCACTAGATTTATTTATTTTATTTATCGTGTCAGAAGTGAATTGAGAATACAGTTATAATGTATTTCTAAAAAACCACAAACAAAGTTGAAAACGTGGCATTTTACTAAATCTCCTTTGACCAGAAGCTGGCCACTTTGAGAGCCTCTAGTGTCACTGTAAGGAGATCCTCCATTGTGTATGTGGCAGGGCTCAGACTGCATTGTAGTAAGTGGTCTTACTACAATGCAGTGGTTTGCTTTTCTCCTTACTCGCATGTCGTGGACTCCACTTTGTAGCCCCATTTCTTAAGATTGGCTCTTCATCTCTTGGTACCAGAGCACAATCTATTCAGTGCCTTCCAAATCACCCAGTCTTTTGTGTGCCCAAGAGGGAGTTTCTCGTCCGATCTCAGAGGTTCCGGGTTTTAACCTGCCACTTTTGGATTCTCACTTGCTGAGGTGTTTCTGTAGATCTTAGAAAGCTATTTTTTGATTTAAGGCACTGGCATGTTGGCTGATACCCAAACAGAGGATGGGTTGGAGATGTCAATGCCTTGATCCAAGAGCACTATATAATTAATTTCCATCTAAATCAAGCCATCATATACTAGTCTGAATTTTTTTGGAGATGGATTCCCTCGAACTCTCGCTATTTTTGATAGCTGCAGTAGAGAAGAAGATAGATTATTGTGTGTTTTAAAATTCGAATGGATTATTTCAGGCATCTGGAACTCTACCAATTTGGTTTAACATAAAAATTTGGCCTATATATGTTCCATGTTTTTAATATATTTGTTTTACTGCTCATAATTTATTGACCACAAGTCTTTTTTTCTCCATAGCTTTGTTTATTTGCAATGTTTTTCTTCTCCTGCAAATCTAATTGGTATTCCTCTAGTAATTTTCACACACACCCCTCCTTGAGATTCATGTTTAATTCCAACCTAAAAGAAGAGACTTTCCTTTTAGTCATGAGTATCTTTCTCTTTCTTTTTCTGAGGTTGTGGGTTGCAATTGCTATAGGGCTTTTATAGACTCTTTTATCCCTTTCTCTGTCAAAAATAACAACAATGTAAAATAAAATCTAATAATAATAGTAGCAGTAGCAGTGGCAATATCAAATAATTTCATGAGTTCTGACTTTTAGCAGCTGCACATGAGTGCTCTTTAGTATATTTTACATGATGTTTATTTTGCTAATTTAGTAATTTCTGTAGACAACAGTCGTACTGCTCCAGGCCTTTGCTATCATATTAGATTATAATAATCTCTAAGAACAAGTAGGCAACCAATAAACGCTTGCAATAACTGAGATGCTTTTGTTCCATGATGTTTGGAACATACGCAGGAGATTTGTGGTGCCTTATAAGGAGAGAGGTACAGGAAACAATTTAGAATATTCATTCAGCAAAAGACTGTACAGCCATTGGGCAGGTTGTTGACATTTCAAATTATTGTGTTAGTTATTATTATTTGTTAATAATATCAGCACACCTCTTTTAGATGTCTTACTAGAACAGTTTCTCTCTTTTAGATGGCCTCCAGGGCACACCCTGGAACTGCTCATAAAAACTGATCTTCCTTTATCTTTCCCAGATTCTTTTCAAAATGAAGATCAATTTCCAAGGGTCCCCCTGGAAGGTTTAATCCGCCAGAGTGTTCCAGTGCTATAGATCTATAAAGACACCATCCAGACATTGCTTTTCAAAGGAGCTGTTGGTTTTCTTCATGGCTAGGACTGACATTTTAAAGCAGTAGTTGTTGTGGTTCAGCCAGAAGATGAAAGTTTTGGGGGCTCAGAGCCTGATAGTTCTGTAGGTAAGCAAACAGAAGGGGTTTTAGAGCAAAATGGTTCTGTAGATGAGGGAGCCGAGGGGGTTTTGGAGCAATATGCTGTTGCTGAGACAGAGTGTGAAAGTGGAACTGTTTTGGAATCCAACAGGCAGGGAGAGGAGGACAACATTAGCTCATCTGAAAGAGCAGCTGCCTTAGACAGAGATACCAGGCTGCTTCTGAGGGGTCAGAGATTCAGGTGCGGGAAAACCCACGAGAAAGAGATGCAAAAGCAGGCCTCTCAAGGTCAAAGGAATGTGTTCATGTTTTGCAGTCCTTAAATTAGTGAGAGAGCTGTTAGGATTTTAGATAAGCAATGTCGCTACTGGAGCGAGGAACTCCTGTCTCCTTGCTTTATGGATTTATCTTTGGATTCATGCTCATGTTTTGCTCCTTGTTTCCTGGGTTCATGTTCAAGTTTTAACCATTGTTTTCTGGATTTACTTATTGCCTTTGGGACTTGCTTCATTGATTAACTCTTGGATTTTTACCTTTCCATTTGCTTAAGGTGCTTTTGGCTCCTTTAATATGTGTTTTTATCAATAAACTGTTTATTGCTATGTTTGGTTTCTTGATTACTATTTATCGTGTCAGGAGCGAACCAAAACAGGTGGATTGCATTAAAGACAAACAAACAAACAAACAAACAAAATAAAAAGTTTGCAGACTTGGTATTGTATTAAGTGTCCTTTGACCAGTAGTGGCCACTTGGAGTGCCTCTGGTGTTGCTGCAAGAAGGTCCTCCATTGTGCATGTGACAGGGCTCCGACTGCATTGTAACAGGTGGTCTGTGGTTTGCTCTTCTCCACACTCGCATGTCGTGGATTCCACTTTGTAGCCCCATTTCTTAAGGTTGGCTCTGCATCTCGTGGTGCCAGAGCGCAGTCTGTTCAGTGCCTTCCAAGTCGCCCGGCTTTCTATGTGCCCAGGAGGGAGTCTCTCATTTGGTATTAGCCATTGGTTGAAGTTCTGGGTTTTAGCCTGCCACTTTCGGTTTCTTGATAAATACTGTGAGCAAAGTGAACTCCTGCTGAGGTACAATGGTGGTTCCCAACCTGTGGTCCACAGACCACCAATGGTCCACAAGAACAAAAAAAGGGTCTGCAGCCTCACCATTACTACACTGTTGCCTTGAAACCATGCGGTAATGAGAACAACTGGCTTTGTGAAACCCTCTTATAGTGCTGAGGCAATGGGAATGTTGGAAGGGGAGAGGCTGATTTCTACTACCACATCAGCTCTAGATTTTGGTGGGTGAGCAGATGGCAACTACTGGGTGGCATATGTTCTGTATCAGAAACTAGAACTGATGTGGTCTATCTAATGCAGTTTTCTGAATCAGCACCTCAAATAACCAAACCAAATCTAAAGTTGACCAACATTGATTTATAACCCTCTGGTACTAATGTTGGAGAGTGGCCCTTGGTCAAGTGGTCCCTGGTCAAAAAAAGGTTGGGAACCACTGTTTTAAAGGAAACAGTCAAAGAATGCTTGACCATCTAAGGGTTCCAAAATCCTTGGATGGTCAAGTCCCATTAGTTAAAATGGTATAGTAAAATTATGTCCCTTATATAAAATGGCAAAATCAGCACTCTTTGGCAGAGTAGACTAAAGACCTTGTAACAACACTGATTCCATAGAAGTGACCCATGGTCAAACGTCATTAATTCTACAGTGTAGAGATGCAGCCTGAGGTAGAAAGGAAAACTGACAGATTTGCCAAATTCTTTAGTATAGATGGCAATTTTGTTTCTGAATGTATCATTTTAAAATGACTGTAGGAGAAAATGAAATGGACATATCATATGCATTGAGTTCCTAGCTCTGCCTAACATGTTTTGCAGTAGTATGCTATTTTAGTTCCATTTGGCAGCTACGTCTAGGTTGTTAATCTGAATCAATTCTATCATGAAACAATGATTTTCTTATATTTTGATCTTTATTAGTTACTAACTGTCAACAAGATATTTACTATGTTCTGACATTGGAAATCTTTTTCATAGCTTTGGCCTTTTGCCTGAAATGTAGTCCTGCATTATCTGTTCCTCTGTTGCGATTGTTTTATTTTCCCTATTTAGGCAATTTCTAACAAAGTTATTATTTCTATGGATTGAATGGCAAAACTGAGGGACAAATATTTTGCAGCAACATCAAGCATCACATTTTATTACCCTTTGTTGTCTCATTGTGTAATGATGTGTCATGTCTGTACACCAAGACAATTTGAAGTGCCTTTTATATTTCCTTATAGTTTTACACGAATGAATTATAAATCATGGCTGTCTGCTTCAATCTAGGTATGTACCAGTCAGAAGCTCTGTAGCACTTTTAGAAGCAAAATGAGCGATATCGAGACTCAACTACCAGTTCTCCTTGAAGCCAAAATGCTTGCTGTATCAGGTATTTTTTATGGAATGGGGAGATGCAATATGATTTCATGATTGTGGTTTTTTTTATCCTAAACTAAATGGGTAAAGCAATCAAGTGAATTTTTCATCTTAGAATTAGCATGTTCCCCATAAACAGATGAATGCTAAGATATATGAGAATTAACTTGTATCTGGTGTAAATGGCACTTCTCAGTGGAATACAAGAGTTGGCAGCTTTTACTTATTCAGATCAATAAGCAGCTCATGTTTATTGTTGGCAGCAAAAGAGCTGAATGCTTTATTCCAAAACATAACATACGCTTGATCTTAGCCAAAGGCTAAGACATAAAGAGGATCTAGCTGCGACATCTATCAACCCATTGATCTCCAGGTTTGATTCAGAAAATCCGGCTGGCTAGATGGGTATTTCCTTCACCTACAACCTCTCTCCACCTACAATCTCACCACTTACTTCTCCCCTCTTAGTATTCATGTATTGCTCTTTTTAACAGTCTTGCTATCCTAAAATCCCACATTTTATGAGGACAGGTTGCATAAGCAACACACAGATAGGCAGTCCCCAAATTACAAATATTTGACTTACAAAAGACTAATAGTTAAGAATGGGATGAGACAATGGGTAGTGAGAGAAATCCATCCCTAGAAGAGAAATTCACTCCTGGAAGAGTTAACATTGGGAGAATGTGTATTTCTGGTAGCTTTGTCGCCAATCCTTTCTTCCATAACAAGCCACATGTAAGAGCAAGCATTAAAAACAAAAGCAATACAGTACTGGAAGATTGCATCATGAGTTTAGGCATTCAGAGAAAAGGGTGAGGCAAAGACAATGAGAACATAAATATTAAAATTCTTCATGTGAACAATCTTCAGTGTCTCACTCTACAGTGCTATACAATGTATTGATGACAAGAAAATTTCATGCGGGGATTCTTATTTTTGGGCAAGGCAATGCCTTCTTTTTGCTGCTATGTGTCTACACTCTGCATGCATTCTAATAGAATAGGTTAATTTGGTAGCATATTGCTGATATACCTTGGTCCCAGATTATTGTACAGTGCTCCCTCACTTACGTTCCAGGACCACTTGTGAAAAGTGAACATCCTCAAAGAAGGGACGCCATATATGTATATCAAGTTCCGAGGATGAGGCAGAAGCAAGGAGAGATTTAAAGGCACTGCACACCTATTTTTGTTAGCTATCTCTGCTTTACTTTGCAATCTCTCATGATTGGCTGCTTCTCTCCTGAGGGGGAGGGTGAAACCTCCTTCCACACTCCATCGTTGCCAGGAGGCAGGATTAGAATGCCGTTCTGGGCAATGGCAACCATTCATAAACTGAGAGGCAAAAACCCGCAAAACAGCGAGTCAGTGAAAAGCAAACCGCGAAGTAGCGAGGGAACAATGTATAGTCTTTAGTAGCAAAATGGTTCTATGCAAACATAGACCCCTGTTGTAACAGAATTTTTTGGATGTGGACAGGATTGTTTTTATTACATTAAGCCCCTGGTGGCACAATGAGTTCAGCCCTTGTGCTGGCAGGACTGATGACCAAAAGGTCAGCAGTTTGAATCCGGGGAGCGGGGTGAGCTCCCGTCTGTCGGCTCCAGCTTCTCATGCGGGGACATGAGAGAAGCCTCCCATAGGATGGTAAACATCCGGACGTCCCTTGGGTAATGTCCTTGTAGACAGCCAATTCTCTCACACCAGAAGCAACTTGCAATTTCTCAAATCGCTTCTGACATGAAAAAAGAAAATTACATGATCAAGGGCCTGGGTGTAAATGCCTCTAAATAAAGATATTCATGGTAAATGATGCCATTATTCTTAGAGATGAACCCGTATAATGTTCAGATAAATTTAGTGACTATCTGTTTTGGTCAACAATCTCTGATAGGCAAATGGAGAATTGTTTCTTAAAGTATGAAGAACAGTGGAGTGAAACCATCTTTTGTGCAGATTCATTGGTGTTCTGTGCTTTCAAGTTACTTCCGACTTAGAAGATCGGAAGTAACTCATGACTCTATCATTTTTCTTGCAAGATTTGTTCAGAAGGGGATTACCTTCCCTGTGGCTGACCAGGTTGAATTGTGTCAGGTCACCCAATGGTTTTTCATGGTTGAGCAGGGATTCACTGATCTCCAGAGTCATAGTCCAATGCTCAAGCTACTATAACACTATGGTTGTTCTACAAGAGTACATCTCTTGTATAGATACTTAACTGAAATAGATAAGGAATGCTTATAGTTATTATCCATTCTCATACAAACACCAAAGGAGGGATAAGACAGGAATGTGCTGCTATCCCTCCCCTAAATTATAATGTCGCTTCAGAAAATAATTTGCGGATCATTTCTTTGACATCCTCAGTTTTTGTGGAAATGATTTTATTTGGGAAAGGAACTTACTTAGCAAGATCTAACAAGTGATACAGGGTGGGGATGTTGAAACAAGAAAGTCATGAAATGAATAATGTGGAGTTTTTTAAAAACATAAATCTGTCATGGAAGTAAAGACTTGAAGCAATTAAAGTTTATTAACTAGATGTTTTCCATAAAGAATTTATTTTCAGCCATCAAAAACAATCATCTTTGTCTATTTCTTTAAAAAACTTCAGGACACTATGATTACCTTGTGAGGTTTAACAAAGGCAGATTTATATGTATGTTGAGAAACAACCTTCATGTGGCATTACGAAGTGCCAATTTTAGTTACCATGATTGAGGTCAGGAGTTCATAGTTGGCACTTTATAGAGTTGTGTGCCGCTCCCATGATGAGTTCTTGATGTTTTGTATTGGGCTTGAAGGCACATTTCCTCTGCAAGGAAAGGAAAAAAGACACATAGAGCAGATTTGCCTCATAGGCATATATTAGAAGCAAAAATGCTTATGCATTATTAACTGTGAGATGGTGCTTATTTCATCAAAGTTTCACGTTTTGATATTAACCTTCCCTCTGGGAATTTCTAATCATTTGGAAAGCATAAAAATTTAATAGACAAGGTTGTATTTTCTTCCTAACTTTTAAGCGAATGATAAATATTAGGCTTCAGAATCTCATTAAGAGAACTTTAATTTCTGAATGGCGAAAGAACCTTATCTGGTAAGGTGAAATACTCAGGTTTGCTGTGCATTTTTTTTTGGTTTTGGGAAACTCAAGGCATAGTTTTCTAAGGCAGCAGTCATGGAGGTTGGATAGGACACTTTAGGACAGTGGTTCCCAACCTGTGGGTCCCCAGATGTTTTAGCCTTGAACTCCCAGAAATCCTAACAGCTGGTAAACTGGCTGGGATTTCTGGGAGTTGTAGACCAAAACACCTAGAGACCCAGAGGTTGAGAACTACTGTTTTAGGAGTGACCTGCAAAGCTCCATCCAGTCCAACCCCATTCCACCATGCAAGAAAATATGATAAAAGTACTCCCGACAGAAGGCCATCCATACTCTGGTTAAAAATCTCCAGAAAAGGAGGCCCTGCCACTCTCTAAGGTAGAATATTCTTCTGTTCGACAGCTCTTACCATCAGGGAGTTTTTCCTAATGTTCCATTAGAATATCTTTTCCACCTAAATTATTGCTGAATTATAAGAGCATTGAGGGTATAATGCCAACCTGACTTCTAGAAAACTGTCACTCTTTGCCAGAAATGTCTGGGAATGTCAATTCAAGTGAATGATGAATGATAAAGCCTGGAAGTGGTTGTCTTCTGCTACCAAACTGTGCCATTACCTACCTTCTGGCAGATAAGTTTTTTTTAAAGGATTGGTATAGAGGGATGTCTATTGCAAGGTTCAGACATATTATGACTTCAACTAGACTTGGAGTGATTTGAATATGTTGCCTTTTTGGAGCCTAGAGGAAAATAATATATTTTTCTTATTTTTTGATGTGTATATGGAAATTTTCAGACAAACTTGAAAAATGTTTCATCGATGCCTTAAATACATAGCCTAATTGTATACACAATATTTTAAATAATGTTGTGCATGGAAAAAAATGTGTATATTGAACCCTCAGAAAGCAGAAGTGTCACTGTCTCAGGCAGCCACCCATGTGGACAATTTGAATTTTGGAGTAGTTTAGATTTTGGAATTTCAGATAAGGGCGGCTCAATTTAAAATGTAAACTGTGTTACAAAGAGTTGATTATATGGGTCTACATCTTGTAATGAACTTTTCTTCATTTTCATCGCTCGGGTTATTACTAACGCTAAGTTATTTAATTGTAGTAATCTCCTTTTGCGGATTCAGTGTTTTCTTCTTCTCTTCTTTTCATGATTCCACAGGAGGTAATTTCTGTATTGCTAAAGAACTTACAGAAGAGATTAAATCATTAACAGCTGAAAGAGAACGGCTGGAGGAACTTCTCAAAGAATGGTTGACCCTGAGTGCCAAAAATGTCCACAAATTAGATAGAATGAAAGAAGGTTACAGGAGAGTGAAGGAAGAAGTAGAGCATCAGGAGTCCACCTTTGGTAAGCACAGCCATTTGTCAGCTGTTGTTGTGATAGAAGGCTGGCATTTTCTGTGATATGTGTCATGCAGTATTTTGTCTGTTTTGATGAGCAGCCATTTAATTTATATGGCATATAAAACTAGTTATTTGATGGGCAATTCTGGCAGACCCTCTGATGCATACTATATTGAACGTGCTGTCAGCCCTAGTTTTGCCATACTTGAGTGGCATTTTCCCTAGCTTTGTATACATTGATGATCTAGCATGCTTTATCCCCTTTGGCTCATTGTCTTAGAGTCCCCTGTGATGAAGCCTGCTGTCTGACACTGCAAGTGTCCTACAAAATCAGAGCTCTTGCATAATATAAGAATATTTACATTCGATTTCACAAACTTTAATCCATATAATGTATAATATGCCTTCAATGATAGGAAGCAAAACAAGGAACTTTTGGCAGAGTTGGGCTCTAGTTCTCTGAGCAGATTGTGTAAGAATGTAATCCACAGCAAATGTAATGTTTTGAAAGCACTAAGTCTTTATTTACATGAAAGATTAAGGTGGATTTAATCAGTTTAGGAAACAGAACTGTCCTGGAAATGTGTTTAGGAGATTTCTTATAATCTGTAATCACAGGTTGAGGTATGCAGTAGAAAATCCTTTGTATATTTTTTTTAACTTGGGTTAGAGGAACTTTTGGCTACAGAATGCTTTGTCTAGGATGTTATCAAGACTTCCATACTAGAATAGGCCTCTGGAATGTGATTGAAAAAGGTAAGGAAATCAGTCTTTTACAGGTGGAAGTAAAGGGAATCAAAGGATAAAAGTGGAGGTAAAGGGAATCAGGATAAAACCCTATTTAGTAAAGTTTTGTGTGCTTTGGGCTTATTTGTTTAATTCGTATGAAACCATCTCATGTTCTGGTGAGCAGAAGAAATGGTACTGTTATGGCTCCTTTCTCTTTTAAAACTCATGGTGGTAAACTATAACCCTCCAAATGACTGTGGAATGTAACTTCTATAATCCGTTAGTACCGGTTATGCTGGCTGGGGTAGGCAGGCCAAAAACATTTGGAGGACCAGAGATCACCACCCAGGATTTAAACTATATGACTTGTTAAATAACCAAGTCCAAAGAAACCAATTGATATTTCCAGAAAGTTTCAACCTGACATCATTTGAATCAATCTTTGACTTCTCAAAATATAGCTTGCTTATGTCACTGGTGCTGCTAAATGTGATGGAACCATGGATTTCCTTTCAAAGAAAGAATTGGTTCATATTTTTCAAGTCCCTTCAACCTTTTAGATCAGTGGTTCTCAACTTGTGGGTCCCTAAATGTTTTAGCCTTCAACTTCCAGAAATCCTAACTGGCTGTGATTTCTGGAAGTTGAAGGCCAAAACCCCTTGGGACCCACAGGTTGAGAACCACTGTTTTAGATGGTAGGTTGAATAGAGAAGGGATGGTTTTCTTTGAAGAATGGATGCTAATTCAAGAAAGATATTGACAAACTGGAACTTGTCCAGAGAAGAGCAACCAAAATGATTTAAGGTTTAATGGATGAAAAACACCTAGGCTATGCCCCATGCAACTGTCTTAGGTCAAAACCTAACATTTCAACATTAATAATACATTTAAAAAGATGATGAAAAGCTGAGAGAGCTTGGTATGTTTAGCTTGGAGAAAAAGAACACTAAGAAGAGACATGATAACATTGTTTAAATACTTGGAAGGATGTCACAAGAGGCAAGCTTATTTTCTGCTCTTCTGGAGACTAGGATATAGAGCAATGGATTCATATTGCGGGGAAAAAAATTCCACCTAAACATTGGAAGAACTTCCTGAATAATAAGAACTGTTCAACGGTGGAACTCACTGCCTCAAAGTGTGGTGAGGTTTCTTCTCTGGTGGTTTTTAACAGAGGCTTGGATGGCCATCTGTCAGGGGTGCTTTGGTTGTGTTTTCCTGCATGACAAGGGGTTGGACTTAATGGCTCTTGGGATCTCTTCCAACTCTAGGATTCTATGTTTCCATCCAGTAGAAAGATGGGAAATGCCTGGCCCTTTGGCCAGCAAGTGTACACAGTTTCCTCCTATGTTCTTTGTCTACATATAAATATGTAAGTAGAGGCACGTAGGGCCCCCTGGTGGCACAGTAGGTTAAACCACTGAGTTGCTGGACTTGCTGACCAAAAGGTTGGCAGTTTGAATCTATGGAACAGGACGAGCTCCCACTGTTAGGCCAAGCTCCTTGCAACCCAGCAGTTCGAAAACATGCAAATGGGAGTAGATCAATAGGTACCTTCTTGACGGGAAGGTATCAGCACTCCAGTCAATCATGCTGGCCACATGACCTTGGAGGTGTCTCTTCAGCTTAGAAATGAAGAGGAATACCACCCCCTAGAGTCAGACACGACTAGACTTAATGTCAGGGGAAACCTTTACCTTTAGAGGCATGTATACACACACATACAGAAACACCAATGTTCTTTCAGTATATGAAATTAAATGGAAATAGAGTAACTAAAATGTTTTCTGTTTCCAACGTACTTTAGCATGCTTGAATGTGGATGAAAAAAGTAAAGATGCAGAAACTAGAGCCACTCTTTCAACAGCACTCTTGAAAGAAAACAACTTTTTCCTTTTCTTTGTGGAAGGAATATGTGTGTGTGTGTGTGTGTAATTTTCAAGAGGGTATTCTCCATAGATCTGTTCTATTTATTTTCCAGAAGTTTACCTCCAACTGAACCTTAGAATGGCTCATGAATCGCTCTCAAGTTAAAAAAATACCATTTGGGGATTTGGCAAGAAGGGTTTTTTTTTTCAGTGGAAGCACAAGTGCACATGAGTACAGGTTTCCCCTGTAATTGCTGTAGCATTATATTTCCAAAGTGGTTTTTGAATTCAGAGGAATTTATAACCTTGTTTCAGGGGTCCATTTTCTGAGAGAAAAACATGCATCAAATGTAATTGGTTCTGTAGATGCCAATTTGGATCATATCCAAAATGGCTTTTATTGCCATTCCTTCATCTTTCATTGCTTATGATATAAACAATTTACGGAACACACCACAATTTCTGTTATTTTCTGTGGGAGGATTTAAGATGAACCTTAAATTTCTTTGATTCTCAAAGAACTGCAGAAAGTATGTTCTCCTGTATAATAATGCTCAGTAGAGCACATCTTGCTTCTAGCAGTATAAATAATTAAAATATGTGATTTCCTCCTCCTCCTTTTATTTCCTCTGTCATCTTCAGCATGTTTCTCTTTAAACTTTTGTTTATGTATGATCATATCAAGCATATGGTGGCTGGATTGAATTTAATTGAAAATGAACTTTTGGGGTCATATGAGGATTTACTTTAAAATGAAGTCATTTGCAATATTGTAACTTTTATCTTGTTTCTGTTTTTTCATTTGTATAATTTGTAATATTTTTTAAAAAACAATTTTGCCAAAAATATAAATGAATGGTATAATTTATATTTCTTTGTTGTGTTGATTGGGGTTTCCTTCATATCAATGTGCAGTTGTGATGTTAATCATTTGTGGCTATTCATTGGCTTGAGTGGTTAAGAATGTATTTATTTATTTATTTGCCATATTTATGCACCGCCTTTCTCTACCCCAGCAGAGGGACTCAAGGCAGCTTACAATGGCACATACACAGTGCCTCAAAGCAACAAGTTCACCTAAAAATAATTTAAAATTACAACATATTAGACATGATTAAATACATTCAAAGTTAAAAATATGCCATCCAGAGTTCAAGGTCTAAAGCCATTTCTGGGTCAAATTGCACATCGTTCTATATTTCGAATACTGCATTGCCCTAATTTTCGAAAGCCTGCTTCCATTGCCAGGTTTTGACTCTCTTCCTGAAGGCTGGTTCGTAGGGGAAGATACGTTCAGAAAGGTATCCTGGGCCGGAACCGTTTAGAGCTTTATAGGCTAAAGCCAGCACTCCGAATTGTGCTCGGTAGCAGACTGGCAGCCAGTGGAGCTGATGCAACAAGGGAGTTGTATGCTCCCTGAGCGCTACTCCAGTGAGCAACCTGGCTGCTACTTTCTGGACCAGTTGGAGCTTCCAAACAGTTTTCAAAGGCAACCCCACGTAGAGCACACTGCAATAGTCTATATGGTATGTAATCAGAGTGTGGACCACCATGGCCAAGCCAGACTTCCCAAGGTATGGGCGCAGCTGGTGCACCAGTTGTCATACATATATTGTTTCTCAGTTACTCACTGCTCAGAGTGATTCATTTAAGTAATCTTTAATCTATGAAATAATCCCATATTATAGGACTGTGTTTTTTTTCCTATGTGGAATTATTCCCTTCTGAATAATTGATAGATTATATAGTAATTTTGGCTTGCCTAATACAAATGATTTTATGATGAAATTTGAATGGAAGTCCTCCTGCTTTAGAGATATTAACTGCGCCCGTATCTTGGGAAGTCTGACTTGGCCACGGTGGTACACGCTTTGGTCACATCCCGCCTCGACTACTGCAACGCTCTCTACGTGGGGCTGCCCTTGAAGACGGCCCGGAAGCTCCAGCTAGTCCAGCGCGTGGCAGCCATGTTACTAACAGGAGCGGGACGCAGGGAGCACACAACGCCCTTGTTGTCCCAGCTCCACTGGCTGCCGATTTGCTACCGGGCCCAATTCAAGGTGCTGGTGTTATCCTACAAAGCCCTAAACGGTTCCGGCCCAAAATACCTTGCGAACCGCATCTCGGCCTACGAGCCCACGAGGACCTTGAGATCATCTGGGGAGGCCCTTCTCTCGGTCCCGCCTGCCTCACAGGCACGCCTGGCGGGGACGAGAGAGCGGGCCTTCTCGGTGGTGGCCCCCTCGGCTATGGAACTCCCTCCCTGCTGAAATCAGACAGGCGCCTTCCCTCATGGCCTTTCGCAAGGGCCTGAAAACCTGGCTCTTCGAAAAGGCCTTCAACTAAGTGCTACGTTGTTGGAATGACCACCGGAATGTACTATGACTATGAGATTGATTATGACTCC